GGGAGTGACATTACAATTTTTCAAACACTGTAACTGTAAAAATGACGACCTGCATTGACAAGACCACAGACAAGAGATACGAAACAAGCTCAACTGAAGCACTGAGAGGGCATGCAGATTCCTCCAACTTATACAACAAGCTGATCAAATCTGGCCCAACTGACAGATGAACTACAACAACTGTACATGTGCTCACAGGGGATAGGAAATATATATATATTATATATATATATATCTATATATAATATATACGCATCAGTTCTCAAGACAATAGCTTAAAGTCATATCATCAACGCTTGGGCTGGCAGTTTACACTACTCAAAACTGACCATTTTGGCATCCACACTTTGGCACACGCACACACACACACACATTCTCCCCCGCAGTCAAACACCAGTCGCAGAGTTGCAGCCCATTCACAAGCTGTCAGACACAACTGGCCATCAACAAACTGACTTCTCCACAATAAAAAAAGGGTTTCTAGAAACCTCAGGCAGTGGCAATGGCTAAGTCATACGGTACACTGAAATGATTTACCATCATCATTACAGCATTCAATTCTCATAGATATACATCTGTCTGAAAAAACAAAACCCAAAGACATTGTGAGGATTTGGATGAGGGACGTCAGGGTATGGGGGTGGGGTTGGGGCAGCGACAAAAAGCAAAGGGTGCAAGGCTTTCCTACAAACCAGCTGCAGGAGAAAAAGAAGGGCATGACTTAACTATTTGGGACACAGATTGACATGAACAAGTCAAGGATGAACTCACAAGTAGGCATTTGTAACGGATATGTTTACTATAAGACATGAATATTCACATGAACTTCTATATATATAGCCAAAAAAAAACAACCAACAAACAAACAAACAAACAAAAAATGTTAAAATTTTGGCTGTCAATGCTTGCATTGTAGTGCTCCCGGGGACCGGGAGTTGTCTGTGGTGTGTAACTGAGCCAGCACATCGCGGGGCGCTCCACTAACCCATGGCCACCACCACCACCAACACCACCACTTAGCCAGTCTCTGCCACTGAGCACACACACACACACAGTTTCGTGCGTCGGCCCAGGCAGGTCAACAACAACAAAACCCCACCTCCATCTCTGATCCATAGATGACTTATCAGATTTCTTCACTCTCAACTGACTGTGAGTGTGGGGGGTGGAGGGGAGACAGCAGAACTGGCAATCTGTTCTCTGCCAGCGACAAGCTGATGTGCGAGTCCCGTGTTCCCATATACCGGCAGGCGTATCCACGATCTACGAGGTCAGCATGACTCACACACGGAAGGTCAATATGACTCACAGACGGGAGGTCAATATGAGGTCAGCATGACTCACAGACGGGTTTTAATGCTGACCAAGGAGCTACCGCAAATCCATATCTCCACAGAAAGTCAGCCTTGTGCACCAGCCTTCTGGAAATGTGAACTTCCCTCCCTCGCATCTCTGTTTGACCATGTGTGACGGGTATGTATCCCAAGTGTGCTGGCCTGTGCTCAACACATTCCACCAGTGTGTGCGTGTGTTCGCCGTGTGTTCGCCGTGTGTCCGCCGTGTGTTCATGGCTGTCCCGTGGGGTCAGTCCTGCTGTCTGTCTGCGGTAGGAGGAGGCAGGAGGCCGATCGGGGGGGGGGAGTTGCGACAACCAGCGTGTCTGTGTCAGCGTGTTACTGGGACCGGGATGGGGGGGAGAACCATCATCAATCACCATGATAATCCCAACAATAAGATATGAGGACGACGATGATGACAACAAAGGTAACAACGACAAAGCCAGCCAGGTTTGTGCTAGTTACTAAGGCATCAGGGGCCACATATCTGTACACTCGTCTCCCTCCTCCAACCTCTAGGTGCCTTCCTCCATGGGCTCAGACTGCTGCTCCACCGAGCCGCTGAAAACAGAAACATTTTTCTTTTAGTAGAGGTTTAAGGCGCTCGCAACTGGATACGGTCATATGAGTCCCAGAAGATTAGCAATGTTACAAGAGAGTAACAAACATTTTTTTTAAAAAAAGAAGGGGACATAAGGACGATAGATGTTTGATAGGAAAGAAGGAGCAAACCACACCAGAGCACCCACAAACCACCCACAAACAGAAAAAGATTTGGTTTGAGTTGGAGCAAAGAGAAGCACATCGACATAAAAACACAGGGATGAAAACACGTTTTAAAAAAGCAAAAAGTCAGAACATAAACGGGGCGTGCTCACTGACTGAAATAAGAATACAGCGAGACGAATTTATATTTGTTTCTTTCCCCTCTTTTACAACAAATAATCTCTAGTTAGTATATATAATATGTATTGTTTATAGTAGACTTTTGTTAAAAGCTGGGGCACAAATGGCAAGTCGGCCGGAAAAAACAGAAAAAAGGCGGGAATTTACATCCCTGATAACAATCATTCAGTTTCAGCTTTTTGCTTTGCTTGTTTGAGTAAAGAGAAGCACAGCCACAGAGGAGGAGGTAAAGGAGGTGAGGGGGTGGAGGAAGAAAGTGGAGACAAAAGCAGACGACAAAGGAATGGAGGTGAAAGGAGGCAATTTTAGAGAAGACAGTTTTTCGATCACTATCCAGATTCGAACCTGGGACCTGTGAATGAGAGACGAACACCTTAACCCTATCTGTATGCCCTGGGGTCATTTTGTACCCCCGGGGTTGTATTCTTGACATTTTAGAATACTTCTCTTTGAAACTTTTAGTATTTCTCAAAAAATCATTTTGACAGAGTGCTATGCAAAGCGTATGGATCGGATTAACGAGTAAATTTATTTCCACTTTGGAAAGTGGTGGCACCGAGTTCTCCACGTCGTATGGATACGTTAGTAAAACACCACGTACGGATAGGGACAACCTCTAGGCCACGAGAGCGCCCCCCTCCCCCCTCACAC